CTAGCGCTGTCAGCCGTCCTGCACGCCATACCCGCGCATACTCATTCTATTTCTGTGCGTTTAGTAAATGGAAGTTGGTTGAGACCACAACAGCGGTTTTTAGCCTTCCGGAATTTAACGTACATATAAACTTAAAATATAAATAAGTTTCGTTATTAAATTAAATTTTAAATACCTGTAATGTCTCGTTACGAATGGTCAAATACCAATCTGATGCAGGCATCACAAATTTCCCTTTAACATTTAGAGTTGACTCGACATCACTACCGACATGAAAGGGACGTTGGTTAATCTCGCGATACGTACCAACTGTGCCGTAACCCAACGCCGGTGCAGCTGCCAAAAAAGTATTTACAAAAATGAATTGCAAATTTGTGAACTTTTAATAGTACCGAATGAAAGGCGCATTAATGAATAAAAGAAACATCATATGGGGACAAGAAATAAATGTTCTCAAATCATTCACGAAACGTTTTCATTATTCCCTGTCCGTTGGCGTGGTGAGATGTGGGCTCCTCGTTTCGAAGCTGGGCGACACTTCTTCAATCTTTGTACCCGCACATGGGAGGGCGCGGCACTGCTCGACAGGCGCTCGCGCGCGCGTATACGCACGCACGCACACACACACACTACACATCTGGCCGTCACCTGGAGTACACGCTAAAGTACTCGGAAAGCAAGATTTGACACCACGACGGTAGAAAAGGGGGTAAACAATCAATCGCACTCACTCCCTAGCGCGGTCGTCCGCGTGCACCCTCCCGTCTTCCTTTTCAAACCCACACCATCACCCCTCTCACCACCACCGACTGCGTACAGCGAGCGAAAACGAGACGGATAAAAAGGACTAGTGGGCACTGAACGCGAATCGAACCCGCGAGCAGACAGCAGTGTGTTGCCTTTACACCCAGTTAGAATGTAGAGGGGGGGGGGGGAGAGAAAGAGAGCGAGTTCCGCAGGATCGGACGGCAATCCTTCCGGAGATGTTTATTCTGGACGCGAGGCAGCCCGCCGCGCTCCGGCCGTGTCGCTTCCCAAAAGTCTCTCCCTCTCTCTCTCTCTCGCATTGACTTGGAGCAGCAGCAGCAGTGGGCTGGGCGGAGCGGCCACTCAGAGGTATTATAAAACGTTTACATTCCATTAAAAGTTCCGGTCCGTGTCGCATTAAGATTCGAGGCCCACGGTTACTTGTTCGGCAGCTCCGCTCTCCGCTCTCCCCGTGCTGCTCTAGCCCCCGCCCAGCGGGGCCCCGCCAGACCTCCATATTAATGAAATCACAAGGTTGCAGTGTTCCCCAACTCACCGCTAGACTCGCCGCCCAGCCCGACTCGCTCCAGCGGGTCCGGGCAGCGGCGTAGCACCGCGATCAGACCATTCCAATTCATTCCAAATCATTACCAAATTACACAAACTTTGCAAGTAAAAAACGTAAAAAACTAAAAAAAAGCTTATTTGCAAATTTTAAATAGATGATTTCCAAATATTTAAAAAAAAAAATCGTATACATTTTCCGACAATTTTTGTTAAATTTTAATTCGCACCTT